ATATATATGTATATATGTGTATATGTATACACACACACACACATACACGCGCACGCATACATATCACGCACACGCACACATATACTTTACATACTTTAGTATATATACGTTAGTTAACAATCCGTAGATTATGATATATGACGTAGATTACTACATTGGATGAATAATCGCTTACATTACAAATATCTGACGATTTAATTCCCCGAGCAGCAGAATAGCTATAAGGGAGAAGAGGAAACAGACGATATACTGGACTTAGGAGTCACGGACGCGCTCGACGACTTAGACGGCGAAGATGAAAATATAGAGTTTAGTAGAGGCAATACTGATAAACATAGCGATAACGATTTCTATAAGGACGAGGAGCACTCGGAGGTACAGGCCACGTATTACGAGCAAAACGAGAATGCCGAGTACGCGAACGAGCAGGCACGGCAGTCCGACAGAAATTCGGACTGCCACAGCGTCAACGTGCCGAACAATGTCGGTGATCTGCGCGAGAAGCTGCAGAAAAACATGCAGAAGATCTACGTTGGCAACGGGCAGGGATTGGAGGATGACGACTGCGAAGAGGCGAAGGAGAGGCGGAACAGATTTCAAAACGAGCGTACGATGATCTCGCCGAAGATGAACAATGATATTCCGGACACGCTGGAGAACGTCGTCACGTCGGAACAATCAGCTAGAGCGCCGTTCAGGGGACGCGGAAGAGGAGGGGGACGCATCGCGAGAGGCAGCAGGGGTGGAAGATTTATACCAAGTACCGGAAACTTCAATCCAAGGTAACGACTCCCGACAATAACAACGCTCTTTGATCATTGATGAGAACTATTCGTGAGAAAGAACGTTATCAATTGCTGGAATGTGAGACGGGTGAGGAAAGGACGAAGCGTAATCTGTTGGCGCGATAATAATTTATCTCTCTTTCTCTCTCTCTCTCTCTCGTCTTTCCAATCCATCTTTATACTCGACTGGTCGCGACATCTGACCCGGGACGCTCTTGCAGGTTCAGTGGCGGGGCGCGGCCAGGTGATTTCGACAACCAGCCGCCTGCGGGCAGGCTACCGCTATTGCAAACCAGACCGTTGTGTCTCCTTGGTATGCCGGGCAACGTGCCGAATCAGCCGTTGATGTACCAGCAGGGTAATCCGCAGCAGCAGCCCTTCCAACAGTTCCACGGCCCGAACGGCCCGATGCAGTCTCCGGCTGCGCAGTTCGTGGAGAACAGGCCGCAGTTCAATCCCGGACAGTTTCCGAGCGGGCCGCGTATCGGCCCGCGTCTCGAGTACGGGCCGAGGGCGGCCGGTGGCCCGATGGTGGGCGGTGGAACGATGCAGGGGCCTGGTTACAATTGCCCGCCGAATCAGCCGCCGTATCACCCGATGCAACCTGCGTTTCAGAATCCGGGCCCTCTCATACAGGAGAACCAGATGCGGCCGATGCATCAGGGCAATCAGGGCCCGCCACCGTTGCAGGGGAATCCGCAGGGTAACTCGATCCTCGGGAATCCCCCGGGTATGCTGTTGACAGGCGGCAACCCGCCGTTGCCGCTGTTACCGTCGGGCAATCTGCCGCTGCCCATGCAGCAAGGTTACCCGCGACAGCAAGCCCCGCCACCGCCGCCGCCCTCTCACGGTCCGCCGTCTATGCAACAACCGAACCTGCCGAGCGCCCAAATGCCTAGTCAGCAGCCGCCCTACGAGAACAGATTACCGTTCCAAGAGCCGCAGCAATTCGAGGGCCGGAACGCGTACGACGCTAGGCCCGGTTACCCCGATCAAGTACCCAATAGCCAATTTAATAATTCGATGCAACCGCCTGTACCGCAACAGTCGGCGTCTAATGTACACAGTGTGTCTTTACCTCCAGGCCACAAGATTCTAATCAATCCTCACTTTAGAGGCGCCGTTCAACCGGCGAACGATGGTGAGCGGGTCCCTTCACACACGGGTGACGGGCCGACTCGTAAGTTACTTCGCTTCTTCCGAACACTCGCAGGAAGATGATCTGTCAGTTAGAAGCACGAATCATCGTTAGTAGTGGCGTGTCCATCGGATCGGGCGCTCCGTTAGAAACTCTGTTTTGCGCGGAAATGAAGAGAAAGAGGGGGGGGGGGGAAGAAGCAAGCGTTACGACTCGGCCGATAAAATTATGTATAAGAATCGATGCTCAGATGCTGACGTGGTTCTCTATTACGATAATCGCAGCTCGACTCGCTTGGGATACTAACCAGCAACAAGTGCAACCGCAAGTCTCTCATAGCGGCCAGTATCCGCAGCAACCGCCGTCGTCCTATCAGAACCAGGGATCGTACAGTCAGTCCCAACAGGGTCCGCCGCAGTACCAGCCAAATTATCAGCAAAACAAGAGCGACGTACGCAAAACCTAGTAATATAATGTGCGGTACGAGGAGCGAGAAGTGAGTGGAATTGTATATCGTTGAATTCCTTCCCGTAGGATCCGTACGCATACTTCTCCGACGTTTGGCAGGAGAACAGGCCGCAAAAGTCACAGAATGTGAGCCCGAGCAAGCAATACGTTTCGGACAATTACTCCCGGGATAACAGTTACAGCGACAGTAATAAATACAAAGTGGACAGCCAGTGGGATCAGAGGAACAGCTATCAAGAGGTAAGTGTCGTTCGAAAGAATTCCAAAGTTCCAACGTCGTTGCGCGTTGCTGGCTTTATATCGGGATGCTCCCATTCGATTCTTTTCACGGTGTCGCAGGATCACAGAGGATCCCACCAAAACTACCGGGAAAGAGACTTGCCGCTACGGCCGAGGAACGATCATGTGCAGCGCAGCAGATCACCGACGAGCGCGTATCGCGACTCGTACGATCAGAATCACGGTCAGAAGCAGCCATCGAGGTCGATTAACGTGGTGCACCGTGGACCAATCAGGCCGCCGCAGAAGAGGAACCCCGAGCCGGTGGACCGAGCGTCGCGAGATATAAGTCCGAAGCGTAATAAACCGACAGGCAACCGAAACCTTCATGAGATACGGAGAGTGGATACAATAAGCGAGACGGCCGTCGAGAAGAAGGTGAGTTTCCAGTTCCCCCCCCCCCCCCC